CCAGTTTTATCATAATCAGGGCTTCCATGCCACTAAATTCCAGTAAAATACTCTCTCAGTCCATAGATCTACTTAACATTAATCTATTCATCCACAGACTCTTGGTCTCACAGACTTGTGTCTGTGGGAAAATGCCCTGGCTTCAGGAGAGCTTGGCAGGCCAACCACCCTGGCTAGATACTCTCTAGTCCCACTAGGACACATAGTAGGACCCTGCTGGGGCAGCAGGGTATGCTGGGTAATGGGATGCAAAATGATGTAGCTCTCCACTTGCTTCCCTGGGCCTCTGGATTCCTGGCTCTGCTCCAGCCAGGCAAGTGGTTTTGGAATTGTGGGGAAGAGGGTGGAGAGATAGGGTGGAGGCTTCCTCTAGGCCAACCACAACTAACTCTTTGACTCTGTCCAACAAAGCCCAGACGGTACAATTATCTGGCTAATCTGGCCCTTCATTGAGAGACCAGCTTAGACTAAACAGTGGCTTCCGTCCTAAAGCTTCTTTTGAGTGCTGGAGGATGAGTGTGAAGTTCCAGGGAGTGGGGGTTGCTTGTGTGACCCACCCATTGATCCAGATGGGCCAAAGACAAGCCATTCAGACTTCAAAAGGAGTTTGAGAAGGAGTGTCTTTCAGGGACTAATGCCCAAATGACATGCTAATTGGTTTCCTGACTAATTTACTTTCTGGCTTTCCATGGCTGGAAATGAGAGTGACTACATCAGCCAACATTTTCCAGCATAAGTGTCACCCCCGCCCCAGACTCCTGAAGTGTCCCCAGCGTCCCTGTGTGGTTGTAGCAGCTTCCTCGGGTTTCCTTCCCTGTATACAGATTTGGTACCTGTCACTTGGGCCGAAGGCAGTGCTAAGATACAAGGGGGAAATGAAAGGATGCTTGGGAGTTACTACAAAGGAGATGAAGCAGGTCCAGCCTGGTTGGCAACTGAACATTTGCCAGATGGTTTACAGAAAACCGAGATGTGGGGGAAGAGATTAACGAGCAACGATTTATCACTCTTGGAAACTGACACACAGCCCATAACTGTGGAATCTGTCAGTTATTCATTCTGCAAACATATCCTTCAGTTCCAGTTTGTGCTGGGACCCGTGCTACTTAACAGAGTAAGATCTGGTCAGGCCCCTCCCCACAGGCAAATAATCCCAAAATATGGGTGAGGGTGAGGAAGGAGGGGGGGTGCTGTGAAAGGACCCCTGAGTTCCTGATTCAGCAGGAACTAACTAGGAAAGGAGTGTCTGAGGAAGCCGCCACAAAGCCAAGTCTTTTTTTGCTCCCTTGACAGATCACTCTAGGGTTAGTGAGATGGATCAGTGGGAAAACATGCCAGCTGTGCAAGTGTAGGGTCCTGACTTCGGGTTCTCAGAGCACATACTAACCCGGGCGCAGTTGTGAGCATCTGTGTTCTCAATGCTGTTAGGGAGGAGGGCGCCATAGACATGGGTTGCTCCAAGACAGCTAGCCTAGCACACAGCAGCAAAACAAGAGCCCCTTCCTCACACCAGGGGGGAAGGCGAGACCCAGCTCCCAAAGTGGTCCTTTGATCCCCACACACTTGCATGGTACACATGCTCCTGCATCCCCCTCCTCACTCCCACATACACACCAAAGACAGACCAAAAACATGGTTTTGGCATGAAGAGCAAACTGGAGATTGGGAAAAATAAATAAATAAAAATAGAGAGCTGTACAGCTACTGGTTGAAAGTCTGGCTGAGAGCTGGTGGTCATCCAGCCAAGGTGGATTCTTGACAGTTAGCAGCAGAGGGACTAGGGAATCATGAGATATGGAGTCAGGAGGACGTGGCAGAGGGAGGGTGTGGTGACAGAGGGAGGCTGCGCAAGGTTGCAGCTAAGGTGGAAGGTCCAGGTGGCACTCTCCACTGAGAGAGGAGCAGGGGCAGATAGTGAGTTCCATGCTGGGGTCAGACAGTGGTACTGGGTGTCTCACCCTGCACTGGCCAACTTCCTCTGCCCTGGGGCCCTCAGCCTCCCATGCTCTCCATGCCACCAGCTCCACATGTTAAGAGCCTCGTCACGCTCCAGTCCAACTCAAACAGCACTCCGTCCTCAAAGTCATTTCTGTTTATGGACAGGACCACTGCTTCTTTATCCTTCCCCACACGAGCTAGCTAACACAGCAGACACTGGCAAATATTTGTAAAATGAACAAAAATAGCCTGCTTTTTGCCACGAAAGGAAAATGAGTAGACATTGGATTGACTTAAAAGCCCCTGGATCGTATTGAAGTTCAAACTGTAGGTGTTTTAATATGAAGCCAACTCCATCAATCTGATGCTCAGAAGTTCGCTCCCTTCCTCTGACTCACGGGGGTGAGGTGGGGTCGGGGAGTCCAGGGGGTGAGGCTGGGGAGATAGGCCGTTTCTGTTCCTGAGCTCCAAATGGTATTTCTTCCAGTTAATTTTATTCTTAGTCACTGAAGAATGATAAGAAGAAGAGGGGGAGGAAGGGAGGAAGGGTGGTGGTGGTGGAATGGAGTAGGAGGAGGGATAGAAGAGGGAGAGGAAAAGGAGATTTACTAACAGTGACAAGCACTAACAGCAAAAGAAGCAGCAGGAGGCTGCCTGGGATGAGGGGAAGCAGGGAGAAGAGAACAGAGAGTAGAGAACAGAAGGAAAGGAGAGAGGGAGGGAAGGCTGAGAAGGGGAGAAGAGGAAGCGAAACCCTTGTGGTGTCCTGTCACTAACTCCTGCAGTCCTCCCAGCCACCCCACCGTCACAAACCGATGCTACTTTATCTCAGAAGCACAGATGAAGGGCTGGAGAGGGCTTGAGTAATGCTCAGCCAGGACAACTAATCAAGAGGTGGAGTTGGGATTTGATCCTGGAATCTGACTCCAGAGCCATTGCTCTGTGTGCTCTCCTAAATTTGAGTATAGTGCTCCTATAAAGGAGGGTCTAGTTTATTGACTGGGGAGTCCCTGGTTGGAAACCAGGAGGGATAGAGTCCAGTCCTGATTGCTGATGCAGTCTGACCTAGTCCGTGTTTCTTTCTACATAAAACAAGGGACCTGGATATTGATAACAGAAGTAATAATGAGGGATGATAGTCTCAATTTTGGTCTCTTGAAGTTTCAAATAATTTCATCCCAGCTACAATGATACAAGAAAATGACAGCACAGAGTAAATCACCTGTTCAACGCCTAGAAACAGGAGAGTCAGGATTCAAACATAGGCTCTCCCACTGTGCTGGCCTGAATGAGAATGCCCCCCATAGGCTAGTATATTTGGATACTTGATCTCTGGTTGGTGGAACTGTTGGAGAAGGATCAGGAGGTGTGGCCTTGTTGGAGGAGGTGTGGCCTTGTTGGAGGAGGTGTGGCCTTGTTGGAGGAGGTGTGTCACTGGAGGCAGACTTTTGAGTTATCAAAAGACTTTCCATTCCCAGTGTCTCTCTCTGCCTTCTACTTGAAGATCAAGATCTGAGCTCTTAGATATTCCTGTCACCATGCCTTTGCTCTACCATCATGGACTCTAGCTCTCTGAAATCCTAAGCCCAATTAGATGCTTTCTATTATAAGTTGCCCTGGTCATGGAGTTTTGTCACAGTAATATAAAAGTAACTAGTTGGGTGGTGGTGGCACATGCCTTTAATCCCAGCACTCGGAGGCAGAGGCAGACGGGTATCTTTGAGTTCAAGGCCAGTCTACTGTGGGATGTCCTGTATGCTGTAAATATATGTTGCTAAGATTGATTGATAAATAAAACACTAATTGGCCAGTAGCCAGGCAGGAAGGATAGTGTAGGTAGGACAAGGAGAGAGGAGAATTCTGGGAAGTGGAAGGTTGAGGGAGAGAGATGCTGCCAGCCACCTCCCTGGGGAGCAGGATGTAAAGTACCAGTAAGCCACGAACCACATGGCAATGTATAGATTTATAGAAATGGGTTAATTTAAGATATAAGAACAGCTAGCAAGAAGCCTGAGCCATTAGGCCATACAGTTTATAAGTGATATAAGTCTGTGTGTTTGCTTGGATCTAAGGTCTGAGGGAGCCAGGCAGGAACAGGATAACTTCAGTTACACCAGCCTAGTCTATGGAGTGAGTTCCAGGACAGCTAGGGCTACACAGGTCTCAAAAAACAAAGCAAAACAACAACAACAACAAAAGTAACTAATACATCCACTATACTTCATAGTCAAAGTCAAAGGAGATGCCTTGGAGCCATGGGCCACGGATGGGACCCACGGCTTCCTGTGAGCAGCTCCACTGTCTCAGTTTTGTGGCATGGATTCCTTTTTACATTCCCTTTAAGAAGAATTCTCTATCTGTGATGGTTATTCTTGGTTGTCACCTTGACTACGTCTGGAATTAACTAAAACCCAAGCTGCTGGGTATACCTATGAAAGTTTTTTTTTTCTTAATTAAATCATTTGAAGTGGGAAGACCCACCTATTATCTAGATTTTTTGAGGTGGAAAAACATACCTTTAATCTGGGCCACACCTTCTGTTGGCAGCCTATATAAAGGACATAGAAGAAGAGTGCTTACTCTTTGCCTATTTGCTCCCACTCTCTCTGGCAAATCCATTCTTTTACTGGCACTGGAGCCTTCTGCTTTGGAATTCTGGCATATACTGAAGACCAGTTGAGACAGTCAGCCTAGTGGACAGAGCAACTGCTGGAGTCTTGAACCTTCCATTGGCAGACAGTCATTATTGTACTACCTGGACCACAGCCTGTAAGCCATTCTAATAAATCCCCCTTTGCGCGCGCGCACACACACACACACACACACACACACACACACACACACACACACACATACACTCAATTCTGCTGTTCTGGTCCTCTACAGAACCCTGACTAATACTCTACCTAAAACTAAAAGGTTGAAAAATCAGTGGACCAGAAAAATCCAGGATTTTTATGGCAATCTTCGTTCATCATGACCACATAAGAGAGAAGAAATGTTGCTCTTGGAAATGAACCCTGTTCAGAAAAAGGCAGGTGTGGGAAGGGGCCACCACCTACCTGCTCCACTCGGATCTCAATGTCGCCATTCACTTTCTTCCCATGGAAATACTTGGACCTGCAAGGAGACCAAGAGACCCGCTCAGTAAGGATCCATTTTCCCTTCTTCCCTTTCCCAAAGGCCTGAGCCCTAAAGGTATAAACGAAGACAGTCTCATCCTGTGCCATCCTCCCCTGACCACCCACTGCCTTGGTATTTAGAGATAGAATGTTGGAGGAGAGGAGGAAGAGTGGATGAGACAAGAGGAGATTCAACCTCCTGTACCTCAATTGCAGCCTCTAAAAGGAAGCCATGCTCCCTAATTCTAGGGATGCTTTGAAAGACTCAATGAGACAAGGAAAACATAAACAGTGCAGTATTGATTTGGTGTTATTTTATTAAATTACATATATGTACTGTGTTAAAGACTTACTGATCTATCTGTTCCCTCATCTCTGTATCACGTGTCTATTTGTCAACCACTGATCCTTTCATCCACCCACTCACCCTTCCATGACTCTATTCATAAAGCTAATTATCACCATGAGCCAGCGATCAAGGCAAAAGAGTAGATAGCATTCTTACGACCTCACCCTCCCTTTCCATGCTGACCCCCCAACCTTCTTCTCAATCCCTCCCACTTTCCTCCATAAACACCCTACTCCTGACCATAGTTCATCTCCCTTCTGACATGACTGTTTTTCCTACTGCTGATTACAAGTATAATTAAAATCAGTAACCGTGCTTAATGCCTGTACCCCACTGAATGACAATCGGACTTCCTCAAGTCTGTGACCCCTCATTTTATCCTCAACACCACCAGAATGTGCAACACACCACAGGAATGCAATTGATTATCTGTTGAATTAATAAATAAACAAATAAAGGGATTAATGTGTTATAGGGTTTAATCTGTGGTCTTTTTCATTTAATGTGACCAACCACCATCATGAAGCAGGCATTTTTTTTTTTTATTTCTATCCTGTCAAGGAGGAAACTCAATAATCCAGAGACTAAACACTTGCATATCCTAAGGAGGATCTGTACCCAGGCCTTCTTCTCTGTGTCTGTTTTCACTCAATCCTGAAATAGTCGGACAGAAGGGTACTTAGGGGGTTAGATCTTCCCACACTTAATGCAAAAGACCCAGTTTGCATTTCCCCTTTCCCACTGCTGTGGCAATGAAACAAATGCTTGAGTCACTTGCTGTGACCCAGACACCACATTAAGCATTTCTACAAACCTTCCTAGGGCTGGAGGCAGCACTTTTCTTCCTCCTAGCTCATTCTCTCCTTTTCCCACAGCAGAAATGTTTATGGATTAGATAAACATTTATCTAATGTGGTCCCAACTCTCCCCTAAGTGAAGTGTGGCCACATGACCCAGTTCTAATCAATAATTTGTAAGCATCACATTCAAGAATCTTCTCTTAAGTTTCTTCATTCGATTCTTTTCCCTGGAGCAGGGATGTTGCCAACTATTTTCCCAATCTTTGTTTGTGAAAGAATCCTTTCTACAAACTCTTAGACTGCTCCACTCAGTCTGTTTTCACAGCCCCCATCGATTCTCAGCCAATGCCAGGTCTTCCCGAGACCTCCAGCATCCTGGGCTGACAGCTGTGATGCTGGTGTCACTGTTTCTTACAGTGTTGACAGACTGAGATGTCACTGAGGCTGGACTTTTGTGGAACAGGAATGGTTGGTATGATCTGAAAGTCCTTCTTTCCTTCTTTCCTTCCTTCCTTCCTTCCTTCCTTCCTTCCTTCCTTCCTTCCTTCCTTCCTTTCTTCCTTCCTTCCCTCCCTCCCTTTCCCATTGATGCTCTTCAATAAGATGTATGTTTAGCTAGCCTCACACAATGCAGAATTTCATCACAAATCCTCAACGAGTGAGTCCGCACATTCCATTCCACCTCCAGTATTTGTGGAGGAGAGAAAAACAACAAATGGCCTATGAGGTGTATGACTAATATTTAAAGTTGATGAGTATTCTCATTTTAGTTTTGTTGCTGTGGTACAAGATCTTACCAAAAGAAACTTTGAGATAGACAAAAGTATTTTTTGGCTTACAATTCCAGGTTACAGACCATCATTTTGGGGAAGTCAAGGCATGAGCTCAAGCAGTCATAGCACATCTACAGTCCAGGGTGAAGAGAAGATAAATTCATCCCTACCTGCTTGCCCTCATCCAGCTTTCTTTTGTAGGGAATGGTGCCCCTCACAATGGGCTGGGTTTTCCCGATGAACAATTAGGGCAATCATCCACAGACATGTCCACAGGCTAACCTTATCTAATCAATTCCTGCGCTGACACTCTTAGGCAATTCTACACTGTGGCAGGATGACACTTAAAACTATCACCATGAGTAAAGTTAGCAAACATCTAAATAAAATATCTGCATTCCTTATTTGATGACTACAATTCATAAGGCCTTAGAGTTCCATCCAGACTTATGGAGCATTGCAATGGCCAGCTCTCGGTCCTCAGTCCTAATCCCATTCTTCCCTGGTTTCCCAGTTACTCTCCACTCTGCCCTGTAACCCTGCAGATTCTGGTATTCTCCCCCTAATACTTGACCTTCCCATCATACCCAAGAGGGGATGAGGCCGGTTCACTCCCCATATCCTGCAGACAGAGAAGTCACCTTCCAGTCTCATAACTTTTCCAATTGTCCCACAGTTTCATATTTTCAGGATTCAACCCCGAGTTCCTTCCAAATGGGGACCCTGGCACCAGTTGGCCCACTTTATCCATGCGTTACTTTGCAGCTGCTTCCATGGACACACACACACACACACACACACACACACACACACCCCTGTGATGCTTCAATATGTCCTCTGCTTTTATGCTTCTGGTCTTTTGCACAGGCTTACATCTCTGTTTTGCCAGGCCATCTCTTTCTCACCTTCCAGAATCCTCAAGAGTGATATCTACTCTTGTTTTCTTTGGTAGCACCTGAGCTGTGTGCACCTCCTCAGCCCCTGGGCACATCAAACTCTCAACCTTTATGGTACCGTTCTGTCTTGTAATTCTACATTACGATCTGTCCCCTGCCTCCACACATCCAGTCTGTGGCTCCGAGAAACCAGAAGTTCTGTTTCAACATTCACTGCAAGTAACAGAACAAATGTGCAGGACTGTGCTTCCCACATGTTTGTTAGCAAGATAAGTGAATGTCTCCCTTGTTTCTGGCCTTCCTTGTGACCCTTTGTTGCCACCTACTGGCAAGTCATTGTAATAACTCACAATTCTACATCTTTTATGATATGGGTCATTGTGTGGATATCCAACCTGCACGAAAAGTAGCCTCAGACTTGATTCCAGCCTGGAGCCCAGAACACTCTGCATTACATGCCACCCAAGCAGCTCTGGGCCCGAAGAGGCCTCACCTTCCCAGGAGTCTTTGGAATGTTTACTGCTGGAGCTGGCAGGCAGTTTCAGACTGAGGTGAGGGTCAGGCAGTCCGTCCCCCTGCCTGGCTGGGAGTCAGAAGTCTGTCTCCTGATGGGCCACACAGACTGCTGCCTCCTTGCTGGGGGTGGAGGGAGGTGGTTGTGGAAGGGTGGGCCCATTCAGGCTGGAGCTGCCTCAGAACAGCTCTGTTTGGCAGAGGGAAGGGGAGGGATGGCCTAGAATTCTAGATGCCTTGGGGGGTGGAGCCCACTGTCTCCGCTATTGACTGGCTGTTTGACCTCAGGCAAAAACAGATGGATCCATGGTGCCCATTGGCTTTGTGTCCCATCAGCAGCCTCATCCCAGTGCCCTAATATGTCCATCCTCATAGCTCCTTGAATAACTCAGCCAATCAACCAAGTCCATGGTCCTGCCCTGCGAAGGGGGTGGGAACTCTGGATTCCAGAAGGCTTCTGTCTCTGTGGGTGGTCTCATATTTTACAGCCACATTAAAGGCACCAGGAAGGAGAATATTATAAACTAGGGCTGCCTGGGGTGGGAAATCCCTAGCTTGAGGCCCCGGGATGTGGTGGTGTGCAAGAGAGATTTATGAGGAGTGGGCACTGCATTCTTTTCCTGCTGCAGCCAGGGAATGAGCACAAATGTGATCTACCTGTGCCAGAGCAGGGCTCTCTGACAGATCCACCAGCCTGTGAAGGCAGCGAGGCTAGGTAGCTTCTCTTACTTGAACCCAGAGCTTGGGGATTCTGCTAGTCCAGCTAGGCAGCTGGGATCCTCTTCCAGTCTCTCTGAGACCTGGGATGCAGGCAGGGGCACCATGGCCACTCATTCACCAGAGTACTGGGGGGTTAAACTCTGGAGCTCTTGCTCGTGCAGCAAGCGCTTTGCCCAGGGAGCCATGCCCATGGCCCCAGGAAACCTTCTCTGCATGGTTCAACCTACAGGGATGGAGCATCTGCTCTGTGCAGAGCCACCAGGCTCCAAGGAATTAAACACGCAGACCACACAGGGCTTACTGCCCCCTAGCGGGGAGTGACACACAGATGGATGATAACCGCCAGCGCATCAGCACAGAGATCCTGCTCGGTCGAGAGAGGCAAGGGCAACCATGCTGGGCAAGCACTGGGGTGCTACAGGGAGTGACACATCTTCCTGAGGCACCCCCTTTTAAGTATGAAACAAAATGAACAATAGACACATAGAGGAAGACCTGGTTTGTGGGTGGGGCAGGGTTTTGGATACCTGCTGTAGATATTTTGGGACCACCCCTGCCTTCTCCTCGGAATGAGGATTTAAAAGATCAATCCTAAAGCTGTAAAGGGGATTTACATTAGGACCCAGATGCCGAGGCATCCGGGAGGCCGCCAAGGATGTGCCAGGGAGATGCTCACCAGCAGGCTGCTGCTGCTGCTGCTGGAAGGTGGGGGATGAGAGAGGCTTCACCTTGCTGGGAGAGGAAGCCCAAGGGCCTGCTGGTCCTAGAGACAGACCCAGGTCCTGTCTAGCTCTGCTATTTATATCCTGATGCTGCCTCAAGCAAACCCCCACCACCAGAGCATTAGTTTTCTCATTGGTAAAAACAATTAGGACAAGAATGACTACATCTGCCATCTGGGCAAGAATGCCTAAACAATGCTCCTGGCACACAGCAGGTGTTTTGCT